TCAAGACATAAAAGGTGTAGAATTGACAGGGCTACAAAACTGCTATCTCGAATTTTTGGAATTTTTGAGTTTTGACCCCCAAAAATCAAAAAAGCATTTTTTTTGGATATATTCGCCAAAAAATCCAAAAAGTTTTTTGAGTTTCGAAAAAACCGGAATATATGTGATAGTGCCTACCGTCGTCTATCTACATACCAAATTTCAGATCGATACCTCGTTTTTTGGCCAAGTTATAGCGAAAAAACTGTTCAAAAATGATGACGTCAAATTTTCAAACTCAATTTTTGGCAATTCTAGAACTCGTAGAGCAAAACGAAGACCACCATTAGACTCCCCGTGACGAGCTGCATCGAATCGATACCCATTTTATGCAAAAATATCAACTTTGAAATTTGACCTAATTTGACCTGACCTTGACCTGACCTTCACAAAAACGTGACCTAGGCTGGCCCCAAAGGCTGCCTAACCCACATAATCGCATTTGTCATGTAAAATGGACCATAAAACATGTATCACACGACACATTCATATTGTGACCCCCGGTGACCTGACCTCGCTGTGACCTGACCTGGTATCAGTGACCTCAGATAGCAAAGTATGTGTTTGACGAACAATGTACCATCGATGGTTTTCAATAAATTACCAATTTACTCGCTTTCACAGCACATTTCTTGAATTGCCTGTGAACGGTGAAAATCTGACCTTTGACCTGACCTGTGACGTCATCGGTTTGACCTAGGTCAATGAAATTTGGTCACAAGGTAGTTCCCGGGTGGGGCTATCGAACGCCGTTTGAATTTTGAAAATCGGCCGGTAACTTTTCGAGATCTTAGGGGGGGGCCGAAACGGCCCTCCCCCTACGGGTGGTAGGGTCCGCCGGTAGCCCTACGGGGCGCGGGTTAAGTAATTAGAACTGCCAGTATTTCAGTATTTAACGTGTAGTTAATGTTACTGTATTTTATTTATGCATATTTCGGCCTTTTTTAAGCAAATAGCGAACGATATTAAGAAACATACAGGAAATAATATCTAGGACTCCAAGGCCGTATAAGTTTTAGGACTCTACCATGACGAAATATTTCTATCTCGAGTTTTCAAAGAATTTCATGCACTCGGCCAAGGCCTCGTGCATGAAATCCTTTGAAAACTCTCGATAGAAATATTTCGTTTTCGCGGTATCGTCCAAGATTGCATATTCCGTGTCGTGCTGAGGGGGAGGGGGCGTTTTCACACGTCTAACTCGGCTCCTGGGCCACGTGGTGACACGCGGTAAGTGGCATTCAAAGCAGCGTCAAAAATAATGAAGAAAATAGTTCATCGTTTTTTAAGTCAGGTGAAAGGTCAAGTCGCCAAAAGTCAAATTTTGCCTATTTCAACATTTTTTCTTCAAAAAGCGGCGCATAACTCGGGAACCAATTGAGCTACCCGACTCAAGAACCAATAGACGCAGCAAAACGGACGATGAGGCAAACGAAAGAACGCGACGAGACACTTACGATGAGCACCTGAAAGTTGAATTCAAGTTCAAGGTCACAGGTCGGGTCAAGGTCAGATCAAACACATGAAATTGGGCTTTCAGTAGCATGGGCCCAAAACACCTCTGGTGACCTGACCTTTGACCTGACCGAAAAAGTGACCTAAGTACAAATTTCGCCATTATTCCTTACGCTTTTTTCGAACGTCGCTTTCCCCGTATCGCTACATGGCCCAGGAGCCGAGCTAAAAGGAGGGTGTTCAAACTCCCCCGCCCACCAGCAGGGCGTGTACCTAATTCCAGGACCCCCAGCGGGGTGTGGGTTATGAAATGCATGCATCATGGTCGTGAAGTAGTCACAAGACATTGCCAAGATTCCATTCAAGATTTTAGAAACCGTAGAACCAGTATAACGCCTTTTGGGGCGACTAACGGAGTGAGCGAGAGGATGACCCTTGCACGTGCGAAATTTCGAGGGGGTACCTCCAGCTGACTTGTGCACGGCACCCTACTAACCGGTCTCTAGCGATGTGCCAAATTTGAGCACAATCGGCCCAGCCGTTCTCGAGATCTGGAAGCGGCACCCTGCACGTGCGCACGTGCAAAATGGGTCCCAACTGACTTGTGCACGGCACCCTACTAACCGGTCCCTATCTGTGTACCAAATTTGAGCGCAATCGGTCGAGCCGTTCTCGAGATCTGGAAACGACCCCTGCACGTGCGCACGTGCAGCAGCACCCCAATTCTGGCACATGGATGTGCATTGCCTAGTGGGTGCCTACCTACATGCCAACTTTCAGCGCAATCGGCCAAGTAGTTACCGAGATATTGCAACAATTACAAAAGTGACACCTCTTCGTTTTGCATGTGGCACGTGCATAAGGGGTCACCCACATGCATCGGGAATAGTCCAATACTTGGTAGAAGGAATGAAGCTACCCTACAAAAATTACCGCGTGTAAATCGGTCAAGTGGTTGCTGAGATATAAGCGTCGCAGAATCGTGACCACGGCCGACCGCTCATGCTCAGAAATTTCCGTTATTCTACGTAAGACTCCGCTCGCTTCGCTCGCTCCGTAACGATAGGTAACCAGTATAACGCCTTTTGGGGCGACTAACGGAGCGAGCGAGAGGGTGAGCCTTGCACGTGCGAAATTTCGAGGGGGTACCTCCAGCTGACTTGTGCACGGCACCCTACTAACCGGTCTCTAGCGATGTACCAAATTTGGGCACAATCGGCCCAGCCGTTCTCGAGATCTGGAAGCGGCACCCTGCACGTGCGCACGTGCAAAATGGGTCCCAACTGACTTTTGCACGGCACCCTACTAACCGGTCCCTAGCCATGTGCCAAATTTGAGCGCCATCGGTCCAGCCGTTCTCGAGATCTGGAATCGACCCCTGCACGTGCGCACGTGCAGCAGCACCCCAACTCTGGCACATGGATATGCATTGCCTAGTGGGTGCCTACCTACATGCCAACTTTCAGCGCAATCGGCCAAGTAGTTACCGAGATATTGCAACAATTACAAAAGTGACACCTCTACGTTTTGCACGTGGCACGTGCATAAGGGGTCACCCACATGCATCGGGAATAGTCCAATACTTGGTAGAAGGAATGAAGCTACCCTACAAAAATTACCGCGTGTAAATCAGTCAAGTGGTTGCTGAGATATAAGCCTCGCAAAAGCGTGACCACGGCCGGCCGCTCATACTCAGAAATTTCCGTTAATCAGTCGGGGGAGGTTTGGTCAATCGTTGTCATTTTTAGCACATGCCATTTTTGGCAACCATGTGCTAAAAATGACAACGCTATCAGCTATTTTTAGCAACGATGAAGCCGATTTCACTCCTCAGCGAGGAAATCACGATTTTGGAAATACAAGCACTGATTTTGGAAAAGAAGTGCTGCCACCTGGTGCAAGAAGAAGAAACCAGCTTTAATATGGCCGTTGTTTGTATGGTAGTCCAACGTTGAAGTATACCCTTTTTTGTGGCCCGAAGTTGGAACTTTAAATTGAAGCATCCGAAAATGATCGATATTGATCGAAATCATGATGTTGATGAAAAAAATAATATGTTAAGTTGAGAGAGGAGGCGATTTTATCCAGATGCGGTGGTTTACTTCTTGAAATTACTTTTGCTTACGACGACTGCCATGTAATGAGGGATAATTAGCAGCCGTCATTAGCAAAAATAATTTCAAGCAGTAAACTACTGCATCTGGATAAAATCGCCTCCTCTCTTAACTAAAAATATTATTTTTTCATCAACATCATGTTTTCGATCAATATCGATCATTTTCGGATGCTTCAATTTTAAGTTCCAACTTCAGGCCACAAAACAAACTACCATACAAATAACGGGCATATTAAAGCTGGCTTCTTCGTCTTGCACCAGGTGGCAGCACTTCTTTTCCAAAATCAGTGTTTATCTTTCCAAAATCTTGATTTCCTCGCTGAGGAGTGAAATCGGCCTCATCGTTGTCAAAAATAGCAGAATCGTTGTCATTTTTAGCACGTGTGACAAAAATAGCACGTGCTAAAAATGACAACGATTGACCAAACCTCCCCCGACTGTAATCTAAGGAAAGACTACGCTCGCTTCGCTCGCTCCGTAATCAAAAATCGAAGATGGCAGATGGCAATTTCATTGTTCATGGTAGGTATTGGCAGTCCAATGACGTTTACGGCATGTCTGTATGTCTATTCTGTGATTTTATACCCATGATTTTTTTTTAACATGTGTCGTTTTTTGTCGAAAACTCAAATCATGACGTCACTAAAACCTCGATATCTTAAAAAATTGGACCGATTTTTTGGAAACTTTGTCACAATAAATTTCTACAAATTCCCTACATGTACCTACCTACACAAAATTTGGCACAAAAAAACATCGTCCCTATGCTAAAATTCTGCACCAGCAACATTCCAAGTGTTCGTGCTTACAAACGAGCCAATTGTCTATATGGACTCTCAGCTGCTCCCGGGTCATGCGCAGCGCCTCGCCGACTGAGCGTAGCCAGCCAGGCTGAGGCGACAAGCCAGCCCGTCACCGCAAGAACGGCGCTGCCTCCCTCCCCCTTCTCCCGACTCCGTCCCCCGACCGGCGCGGCATTCCTCAGGCCACAATAGTGACTCCCCTCCCTCAGCTGACCCGTCCTCAGGTGCGGTGTACATTGGACAAATACCTCTGCGGGGCTGACGGGGTCCATGTTTGAACAAGGGATTAAGGGAAGCCTTCAAACATCTCAGACGGAGTTTTCGCCGAAACTACCAGCTAGCGCCATCCACTGGTGAACGGCGGTACTAAACTTCATTCGCTAGTTCCCGAAACGACACACCATGCATTGATTCCTCCTACAATATTTCATTTTGTCACTAGGTACCTGGACTGGTGAAAAGTGAAAACTGAAATTCATTCATGTCATCATTATCTTAAGACCTACCCCTAAATGGAATTGATCTTGTTTCACAAATGCGTTGTACAATGTCTATCAGCTGATGTCTATTGTCTATCTCTTTTTCAGCACAGAAGATCCTCAGTCATAGTTAACAAAATGGTAAAATTAGCTGTGTTTTTAAGATTCCAGTCGTGGCCATTAACTGCTCAGGAAAGCAGCCCAGAATTACTTCACAACAGGTATGTTGATGCATGTACATTGACATCAATGTCGGAATGCTGAAGAATTGTTGAACAGGGAATACATTCACCTAGCCTTTAAGAACCACAAATCCTACATTACTTGCATCAACATTTTTCTATAGAACTTATATTATCTACTTTCATCTGGCTGAGGCTTTTTTACATTATATTCCCTCTGTTTAACATGAAAATATGATGAGTTATAGTGTAACAAGCTGGTAATTATATCTGCCTTGTCAGCCTAGCCAACATCTGCATCATGTCTATTACAAAATATGACTGCTTTCCTGACATTTGCATTTGTTCCACTCACCAATTGACCACTTCTACCATCTGCTCGTTCTATGCACAGACATTGTCATAGGGTCTGTTCCAGTCGCACTTCCTAACACCTCTTGACTCCTCCAAGATTGCTTCCCTGTTCCAGTGGCAGCTTTCGCCCCTACAAAGCCAAGGAGGGCCCTGCTCCAGCCTCCTCTATCTTGCTCTTGGAGGAGTTTAGATGTGTTAGGAAGTGCGACTGGAACAGACCCATAGCAAAACAGTTTCATCTCTCTGTACTGTCTTTTTTTCCAGGTTTTCAAAGGATCATCATTCATCAGCACAGAAGGGTGGGGAAGAGAAGGCTGTTCAAATTCTGAAAAGCCAGAGCTGCAAAGGAGGTCAAAGATGCAGTGCAGTTTGGCCCACTCAGTAGAGTTTCACTAGTGGTTCTGGTGTGGACTGGGGATTACACGCTGGATTGAAGTGGCGGTCTGGAGCAGCTGTAATTCATCATTCGTGCTGATCGTGGACGAGTAAAGAGCCCGCGTTGGCCCCGATCGGCGATCGCTGGCCAAAGCCCACCACCAGGCTGGTGATAGGCGTTGGCTGTGATATCTAGGTGTCGCCTATGTGTGAAAAGGACAAGTTGATAACAAAACCTGTTGCGCCATGTTATTAACCCGCGCCCGGGTGGCCCTCAGCCAACTTTGTGGGGGGGGGGGAGGGGAGGCGTATTCGGCCACACCAGGTTATCTTGGAATGTAACAAAGTTGGAAAGACGCAGTAAAATCAGTATATAGCTCGCTATTTTCCTTCAGAATCATACAGGTCATTTTCGATCAGTTCGTCGCTGAGGTCACTGGAGGTCACCAAAAGTAAAATGTGACGAATTTTGGCTCCCGATTTTGACAACTTCACAAATTGGTTCATAACTCGGGAACCAATGAAGCTACAGCGCCGCGGAAAAGCGAATTCGATAGCTCTTTCGAAAATCTTTCAGGTTCTTAGATTTGAGCTAAGGTCAACTAGGGTTAAGCCTCCAAAGGGCAAAAACTGAACAATCGGCGTGCTTCGGAAATCGTCTTTTCTTTTAATACTTTTGATACCAACCTTTTATTACGTTGATTTTACCGGCACTGCGTTTCTCTCGTCTTGTTGACCTAACAAGGTCAACTTAATAAATTTGACCTCAGGTCAAAGTCGCAGAAAATGCCATATTGCATGTCAGTCGATTCGTTACATTGAGATTGAGATTAACATCAGTAGCGGCGGAACACCTTCAATTAAGGGGGCATTGCCGCATTGCCGACTTTTGGTCCCATTCTTTCCATGCAACGCCCATAGGGCTAATCTTAACCCTATTAGTGGCAGGCTCCTGGTATACCCCTATTAGTGGCAGGGGGGCTGTTTACGACCCCCCTTGATGTCTCGAGATCTAACGGGCCGATTTTCAAAATTCAAACGGCATTCGATTTCGCTCAACGTGATCTACATTTCTAAAAAATAAAAATTAAAAAATGTCAACAGGGGGGTAGAGGGGGGTAAAAACGGGCAAATTGCAGATACATTTTAGACTGTTTATCACGGCCAGGTTTCTGAACCAATCCTAACGCAACTTTTGCCGATCGATAGAGAATGAACCAGGAATTCACATGGATCCTAAAAATATGCATTTTCAAAAATCATAGGCGGATACAGATCATTGAGATTGGGGGTACACAAAAAGTATAGCAAATAAGGTTTTTGTTGGTACTGTTTCTAAAAAGGGTGGTAATGGTCTTGTTATGTTACAATTTTCTTATGAGAGAACGACTACAATTGTATTGGTCATGCATAGGCGGTGTCAGGGCACCTATGTTGGGAGGTAAAACATAACCCCCCTTTTTGGACGCCTGGATCCGCCTATTATAGCAAAAACGTGTCAAAAGAGGATGCAAAATTACTGTATATGTTATCACATGATACCTTTCATTCACTGTTCGTAAAACTGGTGCAGCATCGTGATCTTCGCCCAAATGACTCGCTTCACGAATAGGACCCCCAATTCTCAGTGCTCTGGAGCCGCCCCTGGTAAAGTTATGAACTTGAAATTTTCAGGGAATAAGCCCAATTTAGTTTTAAGAAAAGTCAGAAAATTTCAGCATCGTAGCTACAGCGGTTTCGGAGATATTCCCGAAAAACCTGAGGGGTGGATAAAAACAACCCCCCCTGCCACTAATAGGGTTAAAATGCCAAAATCGAAGGGGTACGGTGCCGCGGTGCCCTCCCCGTTCCGCCGCCTATGATTATGATGTTTTTAGCGCTCTGGCCACGTTCCATCTAAAATCAATGTACAAAAATAAACTGTTGGAGACGTTACATGACCTGAGATGACCTCAGGAGCATACGATAGATCCCGATGTTTGAGTGTTTTTGTTTCAAAAGCAGAGCCTTTTGAGTTCCTCATACTGACTGAAACTGGAGACGTCGCAAAGTTGACCTGACCCTAGGTCACCGATATCAAAATTAAAGATATTCAAGATGTTGGTACTGATTCTCTCATGCAACAGCTCGAGTTTCAAACTTCTACGTCATGGTGACCTGACCTGACCTTAGGTAACATGGGGTTACATTTTTTTCACAAATGATGCGAATCGATGCATTATGCATAAGCTATACTGAGTTTCGTGTCGTTTTATTTATGCATGCACAAAATTGTCAGGTGTGGCCAAAAACGCCCCCACCCGCCTGGGGGAACGTTAAAGCAGTGATGTACATATTCGGTGTATTCCACGATGCATCGATCGGTGACGGTGTACTTGATAATGCATTATTTATTGCTGCATGTCTACGATTTTGCTCTGCTCAGTGTGATCTGTGATAGGAAAACTACCGATATATCTCCACGCGCATGACTGAAAGAGCTGGCATGATCCACAATATTGCGTGTCTGTTTTTGTTTGGCATTTTATAAATACTGAGTCAGCTGTGATCGTTTGATGAGACACTGGGACAGCCGGCCTGTATGATCAGCGAACGGCAGGCGGCGGGGCGGTGGTCTGGTGGCTGCACTGCATGGGACTGACACCAGCAGATTCAGAGCTGCGATACGCGGACGTTATGTTTACAATACCTTTGCAAAATAATATCTAATAGATATCATGTCCTCGAAAATGTTCTTCAATCAATATGATGTTAGGCCTGCTGGCTTATTCCATGAAGGCCAAAACCGATCGTTTTATGCATGCCTTTTCTGGGCCTCGTTCTCCTCGAAATGCGTGTAGGTAGCAATTTTATTCAAGGGACGATTGAAAGTGCCTCCGATTGGTTTTCAGCGTATGTGGGATGAATCTTGGGTGGGATATGACCGTTGAATGTGAGGCAGTCGATAAGAAACGTCGAGGGAACGGTCATTGGGTAGGTATGTGAAAAAGGCAGCAGTAGAAAACAAGAAAGGGAGGCGTTTGGTATGAGGTTTCAAATGCTCTATGCATAAGAAAAGTTCATTTGATTATATGACACCGTCCTTTTTATCGCGATACGTGAGCAACGCACGAGACGCTCACTGTTCAGACTTTTAGCGTTATAGAATGGGCCGACAGGCTGAGAAGGGCTATTTCCGCGAAAGGATATTCTGGGATTTGAATTGAAAGGCATTTAGTTTTGAAAGCATCCTCACTTCCTAACACGATACTGACTCATTTAAAATTTCAATTTTTCCCCATTGCGATAACATAAGAAACCGAGACTGCGGTGTCCCCGCACGCAGGATTCTGGAGACTGTCGGGCGGATTTTAGTCAAGATTACTTTACTACTCGATTTTAGTGGCTAAAAGCTTTTGTTCTTAATTTGATAGAGAATAATCATTTATTTTTATACTTTGTATCACCTAACTCACTAGAAACAATCTGTACGGGCTTCCAAAAAAATGTTATATTTAGCTTGTAAGATCCATTAGAATATTTTAGCTGCCTTAACTTGCAAATGTAACGTATGCGTCATTATAATAAGAGATATTAACCTTACTCTCATATTAGCCAAAAGATATAAAATTTCAAAAAGACAAAATACAGTTTCGGGAGCTTTCGGCTTTGCGCCTTTATCAACCGTTATGTGTTATTTAGATCATTTTCGTCACAAACTTGCATGGAACAGAAAATTCGAATTGGTACGAACATGCAGAAATCACACACGCACTTCCCAGCTACTCTTTAAAAACGCATCTATGCAAAACTTACAGAGACATAAAAGATTTATCATGAAGTGCAGAACAAGATAGTCATGTCGAAAACATGAGTCATACGTTCAGCGGAGATAGTATACATCGTGGGTACATCATCAATAATGGGTCCCGACCCCCCGACCAACATTAAAAATATGGAGATAAGCATATATGAGGTAAGTACATGCATGCATACGATAACAGAAGTGTACAACAGCACAACCGCACGGCGCACACCCGCGCACACAAGTTTCCATGGTCAGTCAGTTTAGATATAATGACCACTCAGATGATAGGCCAAGACGAGGTTTGCGTGTTAAGAGTGGGTTGAAGTTCGCGAATAAAAATGGATTCCCAAATTTTTCTATCTGGGCCGTCTTTTGACGCATGCAGAATCTTGATTGAGACGTTTGAGCAGTCCAGTTGCACAGAGTGTTTCGTTTGGTGAAGGCCAAAAGGGGTGTCTAGTTTGTTGTTTTTTGCATCTCTCATGTGTTCATTATATCTAAGCCTGACAGATCGGCGTGTTTCACCGACATACACAGACTCGCCTTGTGCGCACAGTTGACATTCCATCTGGTACACCACATTCTTTTCATGACATCTCCCACGCAACCCTGCCTCACAGCATGGACACTTCCTGCCCCCACCTGGGCAGGGTGCTGGTTGGTAGGCCGCCCGCACTAGTTTTTGTTTCAGGTTGGGACCTCCTTTCCATGCAACTTTCAGGTTGAGGTGACTAGCCCTAATGATACCCTCAATCCTGTGGCTGAGTGCATCATCAATGAATGGAAGCGCAAGATAGACGGGGGCAGAGCCCGATCTAGTCGGCCTTAGGCGGTTATCACGTTGGGCTTCGTGTTGGAGCCTGCTAACTAAGTGGGGCGGGTAGCCGTTCTTTGTGAATAAGTCATGGATGAGTTTAAGGCTACGGGCTCGTGGTAGACCAGGGGAAGAGATTTTGATAGCACGTAACGTTTGTGAGCGGACGGCGTTTTTCTTAGTCGACATTGGCAGAGCTGAAAGGTAGTGAATTATCACTGGTGATGCCATCGGTTTAATGTATAGCTCACTGGAGTATGCGCCTGACTCAGAGATCGATATTTTTGTGTCCAGGAACGCCAATACTCCAGTGTCACCGGTGTGTTCTATGGTGAACTTGATGGTGGGATGGACCGTGTTTAGGAAATTGAAGTAGTCGAAGAGGGCGTCCCTACCATGCGTCCAGACTCCGAACACGTCGTCCACGGTCATAGATAATAAGGTAACACGGAGCCGAAGCTTCAAGCCAGGAGACGCGGGAGGCATGCCGTCAGCTGATTGTGTACATGAGTTTACCCAGGGCCCTATGGGAGAGAGTTAACACGTGCTTCTATGGGGCGAATTCGATGCAACAATGGCGCAGTAGCGACATTACTCTTGTTCGATGTCTTTCGGACGACAAAGCTTCTACGGCGTTCGGCCAATCACATTCCATAATCGCAGCCGAGCCCCCGTTGACCTAGAACGGGATTGGCCAGACGACGTACAATCTTCGTCGTCCGAGAGACATCGAACGAGGGGTACATCGACTGAATATACATTGCGATTCAATATCCAGTATTTTATGACCGTGATTGCAATTTGCATTTGAGGTCAGCAGTCGAGTAAGTTGTGCCAAAAATACCAAAAGTGTTGCATGCCCTGGATGCAGAAAAACAAGATTGAGATGAGTGGATCAAGATGTATCTTTCGTGCAGATGTATCAAGATGTACCTTTCTCCCAATCCATGCAGGTGAGGTTCCAGTGAAATTTGAATTCGATAGGTAGCCATTTTTGTTTTTGCTTTGATGCTTGCAAGGGCGGCGCCACCGTGGGGGCAGTGGGGGCAGACTGCCCCCACTGGCAGGAGGCCGTGGGGGCAAGACTATGTTTTTGCCCCCACAAAATTTGCCTGACGTTGACAAGGGAACAGAAGACCGGTGCAACATTCATGATAGGCGGTTATAATAGTACGCCTGTTTTTGACGGTCCCCGTATCAAGTGCATCAGCAGGACGTTCGTTCTCGGACCGTCTGTCGCATATCTCCTACTCCCACTCATTCTCCTACTCATTTTCATTCACCAGAAGGCTGCCCTCGCCCCTCGAGCCTGACCTCGAGGAGGTTGAGAGGCAGTTTGTCAAAAGTCGACCAGAGAAGAGATCACCCTCTTTTGAAAACCCTTAGACTGAGACTGAGCTCAGGGAGGTATAACAAAATGAGATAGGTATGTATGTTCGGGTTATCTGGAAATGTATGTGGGTCGCCCTAATGGAGCTTATTCTGGTATAGGTATCAATCGTGTGTGAGAGAATCGCACATATACGTACTACGGGAAAGAGAGAACTAGGTACTGACTATTGTTGTGAGGAATACACCATTTTACATCTCAACGAACAACATAACGTTTTCACAGGTTTGTGTCTCGCAATCTAGTTTTATAGTTTTATTTGTTCGCGACCCAGGACCCTAACTCGGCCGGGCCCGGGTGGTAATCCCAAACACCGCAGCCCGGGGGTAGCCCTCCCCCCACACTTGTCTAACAACGTTAACCCTCGCCCATGTAGGGGGGGTTGGTGCAACCCCCCCCCCCCCCCTGAGGCTTTTCGGAAATAGTGCAAAAACGGCGGCGCGCAGCGCCGCCAAATTTTGGGTACCTTATGGGGCAAACCTTGCGCATCTTTTGATAAAAAAAAAATTGACCGGGTCATGTCAGGTCACGGAGTTATGACGTCACAAAGGGAACAGCCTCCGGCCGGATTTTCACAAACTGAGTGCCAACGCCCGAGGTTTCCTGCCGGTGGTACGGACATCGGTTGATGGATCGTGATGAAACTTCCCATGCATGTTGGGGCAAGTATTGGCTATCATATGGTATAAGAAACTTGACCGGGTCAGGTCAGGTCACGGAGCTATGACGTCACAAGAGGAACAGCGTCCGGTACTATTTTTGAAAAGCGCCCGAACCACTATTTTGCTAATTCTTGTCACCTCAATGGGAATATGCAGCAATATTAGCTTCTATAGGGAGCAAATGGACCTCCCAAATCCAAAAATACAATCAGATTTCAAAAATTTAAATTTTGATTTTTCGAATTTCTGCCGCCGACTGACCTTGCCGACTTCCGGCGCTCCCAACGCGCCATTTTTAGAGCTAGGGAAACGAAATACATACCAAACGATAGAGAATTGATCAAGGAACACGATAGTGAAGGTTTCAAGTCGATATCTCCTACCGTTTTGCCGCAATCGCCGCCGAAAATTGAAAAAAGTCTATTTTCCGAAAATTTGACCTTTGACCGGTCAAAAGTAGGTCAAATATTGACCTAGGACCAAAAAATATACCACCAATCGCGAGATCTCGGCGAGAGCAATCCGTTGGTCTTTCCCGCTAAGCTCTACGACGCTCCGTTTTCAAACGCCAAGGGGGGGTCGCACCAACCCCCCCCCCCCCCTGCATGGGCGAAGGTGGCAGATCGCCGTTTACGGGCGAGGGTTAATAAGGCAGCTACGGAAACAAAAATGGTACATACCAAACGAAAAGTATCTACGAGATGATTCTAAAGCACCTAAACTTTTTTTTTACCTCAGGTCAATTTTCAAGGTCAGAAGTCAAGGTCAAAGGCACAAACCGGCACTTTTGTAGTGGTCTCAAAGTACGTGTTCCCGAGGACGGCATGGTGTACAAAACCGGCTAAAATGGATGTTAAACGAAAGAAGAGAGTCTGGGAATTCCGATGATGT